GATATACTATGTATTGTTTTGAAAAGATCTCGGGTATCATTCATTTAACCCTTTTATTACTTATACCATTCACTGAATATCCAAGCTCACCCTCCCTAGTATGTATGTAGGTAACAAGATAGAAGTCGGCCTCGCCGAGGAGTGTGTGTTTTGTATGTATGTTATGTCGGCAGTGAGGACGTCGGCAATCCTGAAGATTATGCTTATAGTTGTATTTCATGTATTTTGTTCATGTCGGCTTGTGAAGCCCTTTTGTTAAAATGTAATATGTATTTTTGTACTTTATTTTATTTGTATTCAAGTTGTAAAGCTATGTAAAGATGTATGCCATTTCATTTGACTTATGCACTGCTCTTATGGACTAGCTAGATTTGTATGTATTGCTTCCGCACTTGTTAGCCCCATATATTTGTACTCTGATTGTGTGTGAATTTTGAAAGTTGGCCTTCGGTAATCTCAGATTACTGGCCATCACGGCACCAAACTACTAGGGGCGGTTTGGGGTCGTGACAGGCAGCCTTTGTATAGTATATTAACCTTACACCTACCTCTATCCAAACTTGGCAACAAATGGAGGAGACATTTCATGCCCAATTCTTCCAAACTGAGCTAGAAGTTTCCATGGCAGATTTGGTAAGGTTGAGTCAAAGGCCTGATGAGAAGGCTGCTCAATTTATTGCCAGATTCAAAAGAGCACGAAACAAGTGTAGGGTCATTCTACCAGAACCTGAATTTGTGAGATTGACTCAAAATGGTTTAGAGTTTAGGATTCGAAAGAAGTTCGACTCAACTGAGTTTCTAGACTTAGTAGAATAAACTTGTAAGGTGTCTATATATGAATCATTACTTGAGGAAGAACAAGATCGAAGTAATGCATCATACAAGACTTATTATAGAGACCCTAATTATGAAATTGATGCAGCAGAGATCGTAAGAAAAGAGCCTATGACCTGTGGCCGTTAATTCATAAGGATACTACAATAAACCAATAGTTTAAAAAGAAAGACCTTCATAGGAAATACTCTTTTGATTTAACAAAGGAAGATGACATTTTTGATCATTTACTTGCAGCAAATTTCCTAAAGTTACCAAAGGGAGTTAAAATCCCTTCCCCAAAAGAACTTAAAGGGAAAATGTATTGTAAATGGCACAATTCTTGATCTCATTCAACTAAAAACTGTATTATTTTTTGGGACAGGATCCAAGAACAGATTCGAAAGGGGAGTTTAAAGTTCCCAGCCAAAGCAAAGAAAGCCATGGGGATTGACGCTAACCCATTTCTAGAGATTGGAGAAGCTATAGCCAATGTTGTCTAGCCGCTAGAGTGCATCCCAAGGGTAAGAGACCTCTGCATGAATTCAGACCACCCAACTACTACATGATGGAAGATAATTATCCTGAGAAGCGGCGTGAAGTGGGCTCAAGTTATGGAATCAGAGCCAAAGATTGGCCTCCAAGATCAGCCTCGAACAAGATAGAAGGTACCCACCCTGACAGAAGACCTGAATTAGGCTCAAGACAAGGGATCAGGGCCAAGTAGTGGCCTCCACAGGCATCTTCGAAGCTGGCTCCAAAGGAAGAAAGAGCTAGTTCAACTACTAAATTAGTGAGTTCATAGGTACCTGGGGTTCCAGACTGGTTTGTCACGCAGAACAAGCCTAAAGAAATACCTGCACAGATGAGTGTCTTTAGAGACAAGGGCAAATGATTAAATCTCCTTGGCTCCAAATAATTAGGTATTATTAAAGCACCCAAAAACAAAGGAACCAAATATGGTTCCAGTAATCTCCAAGTCCCAAAGGAGGAAGATTTAGTGAAGGTACACTCAGTACCAAAAGGATCTGAAGGAAAATAGAGAGAGTTCTTCATTGGCCCAGTCAAAAGCCAAGCAGAGGAAAAAGAAAGTCCAAAATTGGATCTTAGTCCAAAATTGGCTCCTCAGAACAAAAGAAGTGTCAGCAAAGAGCAGTTGGCTAAAGTTCACACTGAACTAAAAGCCAGAGAAAGATCCAACTTAACAGGTCTTGATGGAAAACAACAGTGAGACAAAAGAAGAAGTTGAACTAGGCCAAAGAAAAGAAATGGCTGAGGATGAGATGTTTGAAGCCTTCATGGCTGAACAGACATTTTTGGTCGAAAAACCAACAGGAGCAGACCATTTGAAGGAAGTCACTAGTACTGAAGTACCAAAGTGCAGCATGGAAAATGCTTCTGAAATAACTGAACAAGTTAGCCTGGAAAATAAATAAGTGCAACCAGCAGTTCAATTTGGCTCATTTCCTCCAGTGTCAATGAATATCGTGTATATATTGCCACAGGAGTTCCAGGCTAAAGATGGAAACCAAGAAGGTCAGGAAATTGACCATATTTCAGCTTCTAGTAAAGATTCACAGGTTAGCATAGTTCAAGATGAGTCTGAAGTAGTCACACCAATGGAAACTGAAGATGAGGGTAAGGAATTGAGTATTAATCTCTCATATCCCTTTGAGTATCCTACAACATCCATGACACAACACGTTAAGCCCTTGTATATCAAGGCTTTTTTTGATGGGATACAAATGAACAAGGTATTGGTGGATAATGAGGCTAGGGCTACAAACGAACCGAGCTATTCGCGAACAGGCTTGAGCTTGGCTCGATTTGGTTTCTTAATAAAAGAGCTCGAGCTAGAAATTTAGGCTCGTTTTCTTAACAAACTGAGTTCAAGCTTGGTAAGGCTCAGCTCGGCTCAGTTGGGCTCGCGAGCCTAGGTATATATATATATGTTTTATGAAATTAGGGTTTCAGTCCTCAAATCTTTTTCTCTGGAAGCTGCTGTGGTTTTCTCTCACTCTTGAAAAAACATTGTTTCCATCCAAGCTTTTCTTGATTCGAATAACTGTGAGAGATTGTTCTACAACCTTTGTCTGATACTCCTTCTTCCTTATTTTCTTATTTTCCATCTTTATTTCAAGAGATTTGGTCTCATCTCATCTCTTTGCAGACAAATTTTGGGGCTAGGGTCATAACATCGAATCGAACGAAGAACTGTGCTAAATATCAACGTTTCTTTGTTCTGGTAAAGATTTGGGACTAGAAAATAAAATCTTCTCTTTAATCCTTTGTGGTAAGTTTTCTATTCCTTACTTTTGTTCTTCAATCTTAGGGTTAGTTTCTTCTTCTTCTTCTTGAGATTGAACAGACCTCTTTATTTTGATTATTTTGTTTTTCTTTTGAGAAATTGGAACACATAAATAAATCTGCAGATTGTGTACTCTTTTTTTTTTTAAATCCATTTTTTGAGTCTTTGGTCTATTTTTTTTTTTTATACTTTGATGCAATGTTGTTGCTATATTTTTGCTTGCTTTGATGCAATGTTGCTGTTGGGTATGGCACTTATATTGGAAATAATCATCAATTAGTGTACCTTTATATTGCTGCTAGGTATGGCACTTATGGTAATGTTGCAGAATTTCATACATGAGTTTCCTAGGCACTTATATTGGAAATAATCATCAAGTTTGACTTGTTTCATAGATGTAACTTTCTTTCCTTTATTTTGATTTCCATGTTTCAATGTACCTTTATTGAGATTGTTCTTCTTCTTCTTCTTTATTTTGAAAGAAAGATTTCAAAATCTGCTGCTGAATTTCTTTGATCCCTTGTTCTCTCTTTCTTCAATAATGGCTTCATTGAAAACACTCTCATTCTCCAACATGACAACCTCTTGCCTGTATTAAATCATTCCTCCAGGGACGAATTGTGAATACAAATTCGAAGAGCATTATGATAAAGTACTTGAAATTAACACAAATAATTATGCTACAAGGCAGTTTCCTATTTCTAGTCAATTGGATTTAAACTAGTAATTATGTCCTCTGTTCAGTACCGGATTATATGGGATAAAGGGAATAAAAAATATTAATTAATAAGAAAGTCCAAATGTTCTAAAATAATTATGAATATAAATTGGACAGGCAAGCATGCTTAATAAATAATGATAATAATTAACACAAACCAATCAGTAATTTACAACAATACAACCATTATAGTAGTCTCCATGTTTAATAAATTCAGCAGCAGATTCTTCTTCTTCTTCTTGAGATTTTTTTTATTTTTTTATTTTGAAAGTATCTCATTATTTTGATTTCAATGTACCTTTCTTTCCTTTTATTTTAGTTTTCTTTCCTTTTGTAGCAATATTAATTACATTTTTTAAGCCTCATATTTTGAAATTATTCCCCCCTTCTAGATATGTCAAATAGACAACTTCATCTCACTTCTCCATAACAAGTTTCGTGTACACCATTTTCTTCATTCGAAGAGTCATCCGTTAGTCCACTCATTGATAATTCTATCAATGATGTTGATGCTGATGTTGAGGTTGATGTTGATGATATGACTGAAATAGAGGAAAATGAAAGAGACAATGAAGAAGTTGTAATGACAAAAACCCATTTGAAAAGAAGTCTAGAAAAAGGACATCGCAAGCTTGGAAAGAATTTACTGAAGTAGTCCTTCCAGATGGTACGAAGAAGGCTCAATGTTAATGGTGCAAAACACAATTTGCAATTCATGCAACTAGTGCTACAACTCAACTTCTGAGGCATTTGAAGAAAATTTGTGTGGCACGTAAACTTGCAAAAAAGAAGCAAAAGGTTTTATCATTTTCATAATTGGAGTTGATAGTGTGACCAATGCTTCTACCTTCACGTATGATCATGCGAAGGTAAGGGAAGCTGCTTCTCACATGATACTTTATCATGAGTATCCTTTTATGAAAATGGAGCATGTTTTGTTTAACAAGTTTATGAGGACCTCAACCCCATATTGGCAAAAGATTAGTCATACACAACAAAAAATGACTGTGTATCAACCTATGACATTCAGAAGAAGAAGTTAAAAGCATTGATGAAGAATGTTAACAGAATTAGTATCACAATAGATTTGTGGAGGTCGGGGCAAAAATCCAATATATGGTCATTACGGCTCATTTTGTAGATGATGACTAGCAATTACAAATGCGTGTCCTCAACTTTTGTAATGTACCACCTCTACACACCGGCGTTATCATTGCTGATGCCCTTCACAAATGTTTAGTTGAATGGGGAATTGAAAACAAGGTGGCTACTATTACAGTTGACAATGCTTCATACAATGACGTTGCTTTGAGGGTCTTGAAAGAAAACTTTGCCATAAAGAAGAAATTACCATTAGGCAGAAAACTTTTTCACGTTCGTTGTTGTGCACATATCCTCAATATCATGGTGCAATATGGCCTTAGTGAAATTGGAGATATTGTTGATGGTGTTTGTGAAGGTGTGAAATATTTGGTTGCATTAGAAGTTCGTCTTCTTCAATTTAATGAAATTGTTAAGCAGTTGCAATTGCCTTCGAAGAAATTGATTTTGGATTGTCCTACACGATGGAATGGAGCATATATGATGATGGCTACTACATTGGAGTTTAAAGATGTCTTCCCTAGATACCAAGAGAGGGATTTGGGTTTTATTTATGTGTCTAGCCTTGAAGATTGGATAAAAGTTGAGAATGTGTGTCAATTTTTGGCAATTTTCAATGAAGTCACAAATATCATTTCTGGAAGTGACTATCCAACTTCTAATTTGTTCCTTACAGAGGTGTGGAAAATAAAAGAGATATTGAATGAGAAATCAGTGGATGACAATGAATACATTCGAGCAATGACTTTGAAGATGAAGGTCAAATTTGACAAGTATTGGGGTGAATGTAATTTATTGATGGCTATGGCTACTGTTTTAGATCCAAGATACAAAATGATGCTTATTGATTTTTGTTTTCAAGAGATCTACCTAGAAGTTGAAGCTACTAGAAACATCTCTATGGTTTGTGAGGCTCTATATGAGCTTTATAATGAGTATGTTTCTATTCACACCGCATCAAATACTGAGAAAAGTTTTTTGCACAACACACGGGTAACTGGTTCAAGTAGTTCTATGCAAGGTGTGGGAAAATCTGTTGTAACTGGAAAATCAAAATTTGAATCTTTCGTTAGAAAAGCTGACACCATTCAACCTGTGAAATCTGACTTGGTCATTTATTTAGAAGAAGGTGTTTATATTTGTAACAAAGATTCAGATTCCTATTTTGATGCATTAAAGTGGTGGAAAGTGAATAATCTGAAGTTTCGTATATTGTCTAAAATGGCATGTGATATATTATCGGTTCCTATCACTTCAGTAGCTTCGGAGTCTACATTTAGTGTTGGTGGTAGAGTCATTGATCCTTATCGTGCATCATTGTCAACAGAAACTGTCCAAATATTGTTATGTGGAGCTGATTAGGCACGTGCATTACATGGACTGAAAAAGACACCGGATGTAAGTATAATTTTTTGTCCTATATAATTAAAGTCCCTTCTAATAATCAATTTATGTGAAAAGTAGAAGAAAAAATAGATGAAATCAATTTTTTTGCTTCTTTTCATAGGCTAGCGAGCCATCTTTTGAAGAGATTTTGCTGCCTTAATGGTTTTTTTCTTGTAATTATGGCATCTTAACAAGGTATGTTTAATGTTTTTAATTTTTTTCATTAAATGCAAGAGTTGTTCATGGTAATTATTTTAAGATTTTACACTAATATTAATCTTTATAAAATGAACCAGATTTTTGAGAAGTGCAGTGCAAATGAACCAGATTTTTGGAGCTTTATCAACAAAGTTGAAGGAAGCTTTTGGAACTTTTGGAGCTTGATTCAAGTGAAGACATCATCAGACAGTTTCAGTTTCTCTTTTTGTTTACTAAGAGAAACTTTAAAGACTCTTGTTCTTTTTTTAAGTGATGTAATTTTATATTTCGGAGTTGAGATATGGAAGTTCTATGTTTTGATTAGTTTAGTTTTAAAGTTTGAATGGTCTATTTGCAGATTGCTATAATAGTTATTGCAATTGAATGGTCTGTTTGCAGATTGTTTGTTTATGTTATTGATTTATTGTTGCATTAGGATGTTTTATTTGATTTTCAAGATTGGCAAATTTTTTTGGGCTGTTGTTATTGATTTATTGTTACATTAGGATGTATCAATTGTTGCATTCGAATGTTTTATTTGATTATCAATATTGGCAGATTTGTTTGGGCTGTCGTTATTGATTTATTGTTGCATTAAGATGTTTTATTTTTGGCTCTGTTCATAGCTTAATTTGTTTGTGTTCGAGCTCGAGCTCGTTCGTTTGTAAATGAGCTATGTCGAGCCGAGCTCAAGCTTTATAAATATCTAGCGAGTCGAGCTCGAGCACAACTTTCATAACTCGACTCGAGCTCAAGCCAAGCCCGAACATTATCAAATTCTATCGAGCCGAGCTCGAGCTTGGCAGAACTCGACCCGACTCGGCTCGGCTCGGCTCGTTTGCAGCCCTAAATGGGGCAACAATGAACCTGCTTCTGAAGTCCTCTTTGAAGAAACTGGGAAAAAGAAATCCCAAATTAATCCCAACCAACACAACCATTACTGGCTTCACTGGGGATAAGCAGATCGCTCTGGGTATCTTGCCCATCAATCTTAGTGTGGGAACTAGAGATTGCATGACGGCATTTTTTGTTATAAATAATAATGCCAAATATAATGCTTTACTTGGCAGGGATTGGATCCACACCAACAAATGTGTGTCTTCCTCTCTACATCAGAAGATAATGATGGCCTTATGCAATAGAGAGACAGAGGAGATCAATGCAGACCCTCAATCCTTTATCGGTTGTGCTAACTTTGCAGAGGCTAAGTTATATGTCAAAGGAGTGACACCACTCAGTATATTGAGAAAACTTGATGGTTCAGACACTTAGTGCAGGAGAGTGCTGATGCATAATTTGTCATCAAGGATGATAATGATGCCTGGTTATAGGCAAGAAAATGAAACCCAAGAAACCAGACCCTTGGCTTTAGTTAAGTTTTCAATATTGGACATAAAATCGATAGTCCAGAAGGTTCAAGAAGAAGAGAAAGAAGCCATGGTAGTTGGCTGTAAGCAGGAGCAACAACAAATCAGGTCTTTGACCTTTGATAAGTACTGTGCATTGGACATCGAAACAAAAGTCTAGGAAATACAGGAAGACGAAGCCTTATGGACCGACTTTGTCTATGAGGAAGAAGGCAAAGATGTTGAACCAAAGAAAATGGGAGCAGAACAAAGCAAAGTAGTTACTTCGAGGGTCGAAGAAATCAAAAGAGAAACATTAATGAGTGCTCAAGTACAAGACCCCTTGGAAGAAGTCAATTTAGGGGGAGGTTCTGCACAGCAACCCATTTATATCAGTGCCTGGTTAAGTCCTTGTGATAGAAGCCAGTTATTGGTTGTCTTAAAACAGTATAAGGATTGCTTTGCTTGGTCTTATAATGAGCTGCCTGGATTGGATAAATCATTAGTAGAATATAGGCTCCCTATGAAGCCTAATTTCAAGCCATACAAGCACAAGCCAAGAAGGATGAGTCCTGAGGTGGTTCAGAAGGTCAAAGAGGAAATTTTTAGGCTCCCTAAGGCAGGCTTTATTGGAACAGCCAGATATGTTGAATGGCTGTCCAATATTATGTCTGTGGTTAAAAAGAATGGTAAAATGAGGATATGCATCGATTTTAGAAACCTGAACTTAGCAAATCCAAAAGATGAGTATCCCATGCCCATAGTAAACTTATTGGTGGACAGTTCAGCAAGGTACATAATTTTGTCTATGATGGATGGGCATTCTGGTTACAACCATATTTGCATTGCAGAGAAGGATGTCTATAAGACAGCATTCAGATGTCCTGAAAAACATTGGCACTTTCGAATGGGTTAAAATGCCATTTGGGCTGAAGAATTCCGGGGCTGCATATCAAAGGGCAATGAACACTATTTTTCATGATCTCATTGGAGGATATTTAGAGTGTTACATTGATGACATTGTAGTAAAATCTCAGTCCATGGAGGAACACTTGGAAACAGCTTTCGAAAGAATGAGAAAGTTCAAGTTGAAGATTAATCCCCTCAAATGTGCTTTTGGTGTATCAACTGGAAACTTCTTAGGCTATGTATTACACAAGAAGGGAATACAGATTGATCAGAATAAAGCCAAAGCCATCATTGAGGCCAAGCCTCCATCAAGTAAGAAAGAAGTACAAAAGTTCCTTGGTCAGGTTAGTTTTCTTCGAAGATTTATTTCTAACACCGCAGGGAAAACTAAAGTATTTTCTTCTTTATTAAAGTTGAAAAATGAAGAGGAGTTTGTGTGGACAGCAGAGCATCAAACTGCTTTCGAATGAATTAAAGCCTACTTGGCCAAGCCTCTAATGTTAATGCCACCAAAGAGCAATAAGCCTTTGAAGTTATACATTGCTGCAACAGAGGATTCATTGGGAGCTTTCCTAGCCCAGGATAATGAAGAAGGCAAGGAGCAAGCAGTTTATTACCTTAGTAGGTTTTTAAATTCTTGTGAATGTAAATACTCAGCTGTCGAAAAGTTTTGCCTTGCATTGTACTTTGCAGCAATGAAATTAAAATATTATCTTTTGCCTAATATATTGTCTCAGTAATTGCAACCACATACTTGGTTAAGTAAGATATTAAGATATTGGTTAAGAAATTAAGAAATTAAGATATTGTCTCAATAATTGCAACCACATACTTGGTTAAGTATATGTTATCTAGACCAATGTTGAGAGGAAGAATTGGCAAATGGATATTAGCCTTGTCAGAGTTTCACCTAGAATATATCTCCCAAAAGGTAGTAAAAAGACAAGTTTTGGCTAACTTTTTGGCAAATCATTCATGTCAAATGGAAAGCCAGGAGATAATGGATCTTGGTATGATCAATGTTGAGCCACGGTAGATGTGGTTCGACGGGTCAAAGGCCAATGGTTTAATTGGAATTGGTGTTATAATTAAGTCACCACAGAGGGTAGAAACCACGCATGATTTTAGAGTAGATGAAACTATTTGTTCCAATAATCAAGTTGAATATGAAGCTTTAATAATAGGACTGGAAATGCTTATAGGATTACAAGCTCATGTAGTTGATATATTTGGAGATTCTCAATTGGTGGTCAATCAAGTGAAAGAAATTTTCAAATGTCAAAGTGCAATCATGTTACCATACTATGTTGTTGTATTACATTTGCTTTCTCAGTTTCAGATAACAAATGTGACTTATATCCCAAAGTTCATGAATAACAAAACCAATGATGTAGCTCAGAAGGCTTCGAATTTCAAAAGAAGGGATGACACTCAATTGAACATAAGTCAAGCAACATATCAAAAATTAATACCACATTTAGCCAAAGGAATGTGGTGTTAAAAGTCAATCATAATGACTTACAGAATCAAGATTGGAGGCATCCAATAATGCAGTACCTAATTGGCCTATCTTCGAAAGCCAGCAGAAAGTTCAAATTACAATCTATGCAATACATAGTGTATGATAATGCTCTTTACAAAAGGGGAGCAGATGAATTGTTATTGGAATGTCTAGGGTCGAAGGAAGCATTGATAGTCATGGCTAAAGTTTATAAAGGCATTTGTGGTACTCATCAGCCTGGTGTGAAGATGAGATGGTTGCTTCGAAGGCATTCCTACTATTGGCCAACCATCCTTAAAGATTGTATAGAGTATGCTAGAGGTTGCCAGGCATGCCAAAAGCATGGGATGATAAGACATGTACCAATAACTGATTTACATGCAGTGGTGAAGCCTTGGCCATTTAGAAGTTGGGCTATGGATATGATAGGAAAAATGCATCCACCCTCTTCGAAACACCATTGTTTCATCCTAGTGGCCACAAATTACTTCACTATGTGGGTTGAAGCTAAACCATATAAAGTTGTGGATCAAACTAAGGTTATTGGATTTATTAAAGATCTGATCCACAGATTTGGCATCCCACAGACCATAACTATAGATAATGGGACTGTATTTGATGGAAAGATGGTAAAGTTTTTCACAATAGAATTTGGAATTAGTCTTATTAATTCCACCCCTTACTATGCACAAGCAAATGGTCAAGCAAAATCATTCAACAAGTCCTTGAAAACAGGAATACAAAGAGTTGTGATTGGCATAATTTGTTGTAGGATGTATTATGGGCTTCTAGAACTTCTCCAAGATCAAGTACAGGAGTAACTCCTTATGCCTAAGTATATGAACATGATGCAATGTTGCCTGTAGAAATTAACATTAAATCTTTGAGGGTGAAATGCCAGGACCAGTTAACTTCTGAGCAATACCATCAAAGCATGTTTTTGGAATTAGAGAGTATAGATGAAGCTCAAATTCTTGCACTAAATAATATTCTGTTCCAAAAGGAAAAGGCAGCCAAGAGCT